GTCGATCCCTTGGCAAAACATTTTAGGTAGAAAGTTTGGTCAAGTGATTGAGTTCACTTGTCTCTGACGCGTTGTAGCTTGGTGCTAAGAATAGCAAGACTCATTGACGATGCCGACGAGACATCTGGCAAGACATTTACGGCATATCACGGCATATAGTAAAATTCTTTGGAGTCAGATGTTAAAAAAACTGGACCAAAATAAATTAATAGCAATCTGTCCATCATACTAACTTCCAAGTTTTCTGAATAACGGGCTTGATATAAGAGAGCTTACTATACTCCAAACAACATGGATTCTTTCTGCTAGAGAATTTAGAGGATGCGCTTGAAAGAAAGTCAAGCATTTTCTTATTCCGTTTGCTTCCTCATCGCTTTGCCCATCTTGATCTATCTGCATAATGTGTGGCCCTTACGTGAATCCAGTTATGGTGTCTAGACGTAATCCTTAAATAATGAAATGTATTAATATTACATTCCGACTATGGATCATGACGATTTGGAAGTTATCTATATCCAAAGGAGGCTTCATGCAACATCTTTCATAATCCAATATAAGAAAGTCTTTTAACCTACCAATTAAAAACGTGATATTTACATTATAGCTTGATTGTTAGTATGTAATTAAGATGTGTGGCATAGCTAGTTGCGTGGATTTATGAGCTTTTACGTTGGAATACCTTCGCTTTAAACTTTTAATGCAGGCTGTCCATTATTAAACCATTTAAATTATTATGTAAATAGATAAATAAAGATAAATATGTCAATGAAAATTAATAAAATAAAAATATTAATTTACTAGTATGCAAAACGGCTGCTTTACCGCCATGTCTTTCCGAATTGTTTTCTTGAAGCAAAACATTTTCTTGACAGAGCCTTTTAGACCTCTTTTCAGGAATGTTGTCCTGGGAATCTGCCAAAAACTGATGAGTATCATTATTTTCTATAAGCTCATCTGGCCAACAATATGAATTTTCTGGCATAGTCATATCTGCAAAGGATACGTTTGAAATGAAGTCAAGTTTTTTTCTTATTCCGTGTGCTTCCTCGTCCGTTTGCCCATCTTGATTTTCGACTTCTTCTTCGGTAACTTCCGTATCCATACCTTCCATTTCTAGTGTTGAAAGCTCGTTTTCCTCAGCCTGATTGAGGAATACATCAGATATAGACCTAGGTGTGGTTACCTGCTCACCGAATATGTTTTCTAGTGGGTCATTAGCACTAGGTGGGAAGACCGGGGCAGAATAAAAATTTTGCAGCGAAAGTTCAGGAATTGAGTTCTTGTGTCCAACCGAATTCTAAAAGTAAATTAAAAAATATAAATTAAATCCATTGCAAATGTGACGAATGGTGAAATCAGAAACAGAACTTACCATCTTGGGCGAGCAAAGACTAGGGACCTCCCAATAGCCACGCCTAGAAACGTCAAATCTAAATGGCTTAATAGCACAATCCTTTGAAATAAGACGGGTTCTGGGTTCACTGGACTGCAACAGCGAGTCTAAGTGTAACATATGAGTGTCAAGATGCGGCTGTGTACGGGACTGTCGAGATCGTCCATGCCTATGCGGCAGAATCTCTCCAGAGTGTACGTCTCCAAGGTTTAGACTGAGTCCATTAGTGGCCCTATCCAATGATTCATTCCCCTCTCCTTTGTCTCTTGCTTTGTTTGCTTTATCTTTTTTTCTTTCTCTTACGTCTTCCTCATTCTCCCCTTCATCTTCTCCTTCATGTTCTTCTCTCTCCTTTTCACCATCTACTTCCTCTTTATCATCAACCTCCTCTTCATCCATGATAGTTAAGAAGCATTCTCTTGCTAAACCGGGGCTAGATGACTCTGTAGGCGTCGCATATATTAGTAGAGGGTCTTCTTCTCGTGGACAGTCATTCGAGTCTCCAGCTTCGGGGTCTGCCACCGCAGCTACTATGGTTTCATCTACAGAGACGGCAGCAACTGCAACAGCCTGTTCTGAATTTACAGAATCCACACATGCACCCTCTTCCTGTTCAGCATCAGAGCATGGCTCGTCGGATGCCTGGAATAGCATCAGATTTTCTGCAATTCCACCCTCGGAGGAAGTGCAAGTGCTGATCATTCCCAGCTCACCTGCTGGTACAGCAGAGGAGCTTATCATTGGATCCCTAGAAACGGCTGCTGCTGCTACAGCCGCAGCTGCAGCCGCGGCTGCAGCAACCGCTGCTGGGCTCGAACTAACGAGTGCCTCATTCAGTAATCCTGGAATATGATACTCTCCTTGTGGACAATCCGAGTATCCCGAAAGGGAGGTGGAAGACCAAAAGGCAGACTGAAGCCCTATATGGCCCTTAGCACCAAGACAAGTTATCGGTGAACTTGAGCTAGGGACAGACCCATCTGGTACACCGCTAGAAAGCCCGATTAGCTTGGCTCCTTCCATTCCAGACACATTAGCAACTCCTTCTATTCCAGCATCGCCTCTTCCTCCAACAAAAGCACCTGCTGCCGCCATCATCATCATCATCATAGTTGCCTGCTGCGTACTTGAGTGGAAAGAGTTTTCACTCTCTCGTCGGGACCCAGAAGCTAGTCCCGAGTTAAGCAGCATTGTTTTCATGTTTGATACTACCCCTATTGCCTCCTCCGTCATAGATTGTACTGAGGACTCCTGTGAAATTAGGCCTAGTTGAGATGTTGGTGAACAGATGGATTGATCGCCGTTGTTTATCCTCGGTAGTAGTTGCTCAGTTTTAATTACTGGCAGAAGATTTGTCAACTCGGCAGGAAGACTTGTCAGTGGGCTTGATGCCAATTGTTCTAGCCGGAAGGAGAGATATTCATCGCATAGTAGTCTAAGAAGGTGACAACTGCCGAAGGTGCTGGCTGAGCGTAAGGTTAACTCTCTCATCAGGAGAGAGCTGAAATAATGTAAGTAAATCAAAAGTAAAATGGGATATTTCTCTAATCTTTGGTATACTTTTATAAGTTGTTGATGCATATATCCCATAAGCACGAATTTTCGAAAGCTAGCACCGAAAAATCAATAATTTGGGTGCAAGTTTTTTATCAAATAAGCCCTATAATTAAGCAAAACACAATCATGTTTTGTAATCCATCTCTATTTTATCTACTAGATAATTCTTTGTGAAGTAGATTATTTCTTGACTCAGGCTACGAAGTAAGTGAATATCAACTTATAATGATTTTCTATGCAATCTCTCAGTAATTTGATGTACTGACTTAAATCTTCTCTTTATCATAACAACTTAGCCCTCATAGCTACGAACTACAACTGTTAATTTCGTCAAATTACATAAACAGCCATCTCAAAGCGCTTACTTTATGCAAAGACCTTTGGTAAATATCTCTAGGCCGTATTCATAGTTAGCTCCGTCCTATCAAAGCTAGTCATCACATCGTTCGCCATGGCCCTCCTACATCTGCAATTTGCCCCAGGTTCAGCCCATAGGAAATTTCTACGCTCGTACCATGATCTAAGGCCTGGAGCGTCTCAACATGGCTGAGTCGTGTCACCAACCAGCCCATCCGCCATCTTTCTGGATATCAAACAAGATGCATTCAATGCGTCTCTCGTAGGCCGCTCAGCCGCTTATACGGCTCAGGCAAAGTTATTTACGCCTGTTTCGTCACGTTTGCATCAACACAATTAGACTTGCTCCACAGGGCCGACTTTATGTCAACTCCACCTATCCTATAGAGGTTGTTTGACCTTGTTTTCGGGAATGTACCAGGTCTACGGTTCAACTTTGGAAATGATCATGTAGACAATGGACTCCGGATTAGGTGCGTCCCCCTAAGTCTTCCTACCAACGTGAACAAGTTGCGAAAACAAGGTCAAACAACCTATATACAACGAAAGGAGACTGCGACCACACAAAAGGCTACACCA